GTCCAAATATGAGAGATCGGTCAACTTCATTTGACCAAGATTTGGAATTTTGCCTGGCATGCAGATAAAAAACAATAATCAAATAACACTAGATACCCCAAAAATAAGGCAATAATGATGTGATATGCCAGGTAGGGGGGTTGTCTTACCACTCAAAAAATTATTTGATAAGTCCAAATATGAAAGCTTGGTCAACTTCATTTGACCAAGATTTGGAATTTTGCCTGGCATGCAGATAAAAAACAGTAATCAAATAACAGTAGATACCCCAAAAATAATGTAATAATGGTGTGATATGCCAGGTAAGGGGGTTTTCTTACCGCTCAACAAGTTATCTGATAAGAGCAAATATGATAGCTTGGTCAACTTCATTTGATCAAGACTTGGAATTTTTCCTAGCATGCAGATAAAAAACAGTAATCAAATAACACTAGATACCCCAAAAATAACATAATAATGATGTGATATGCCAGGTAAGGGGGTTGTCTTACCACTCAGCATATTATCTGTTAAGTCCAAATATGAAAGCTTGGTCAACTTCATTTGACCAAAATTTGGAACTTTGCCTGGCATGCAGATAAAAAATAGTAGTCAAATAACACTAGATACCCCAAAAACAATGTAATAATGATGTGATATGCCAGGGTAAGGGCGTTGTCCTACCGCTCAACATATTATTTGATAAGTCCAAATATGAAAGCTTGGTCAAGTTCCCAATCCAAGTAGGTATTTCCCCAGATAAACTGCAAGCACTGAGCTCTAAGCTCATCAGATTCGTACAGTTTTTGATCCACCAGGGAATCAGCCCAGAGAAATCAAAGCCTTCCAGCTTCAAATCTGTCAAGTTCTTAAGTCTGGCAATCCAAGAGAGCATTGGCTTCTCTATTCCTGACCCAGAAAGCCACAATGCATTTAGGGACGTAAGGTTTGCTATGGAAGTAGTGTATTGCTTGGGAGATTCAATGCTGCTAAGCCCCAAGAATTTCAACGACTTGAGATGGACAAACGAGTCTGGTATGGCACCCGAAATTTTTGTAGCCCTCAGATCTAAATATTCCAAATTATTTCCTGATGAGAAATCTGGTAGGTGCACAGTAAGACCGAAATTGTAAGACACATCAAGACGACTCAGATTTTCTAGCTGGAAAATCTTTGTGGGAAATTGCCCTTCAAAATTATTATCCCCAAGTGCAAGGCCTCTTAAGAAAGAGAATTCTGCAAAGAACCGAGGAACCTGACCAGAAATTTCATTATCTGCGAGGTTGATCGTTGTTAGAAAACGGAGTTGGGAGAATGAATGGTGGATCGGACTACTTAGTTCACACGTAGACAAACTAATATTCTGTAGTAGCGGAACAGAGTCTGCTAAAGCAACGGACCAATTTGCTTCGCCACTTAAGATGCTCACTCTATCAAGATAAAGCTCTCTCAGATTGCTCAGGTTTGCTACGAGGGTTTGGAAACTTGGGTCTTGAAGATACAAATCAGTATTATAGGAAAGATCAAGCGAACGCAAATTCTTGAGGTGGGAAATTCCAATGGCTATCTGACCAGCAAAACACGCATCAGACAAATTGAGACTGACGAGCTCGATCAGCCGCTCAAACCCAAAACTAGGAAGGCTGGTCAGGCCAAAGTCGTTACCAGAGAGGCTGAGATTTGTGAGGGAGGTGAGGTTGAATAGTGCTGGGCTGAGACCACTGGTGCTCCGCAGGTTACGATCACTGAGGTCCAAAGTGATCACCTGACCAGAGGCCCTGTCGCAGCCAACACCCTCCCAGTGGCAACAGTCTGTGCCATGCTGCCATGACGAGAGGTTGGGGTTGTGGAAGAAGGAGCGCTTCATCTGGAGTAGAGATGAAGCCTGATCAGGGAGGCACTGGATTGTGGTTCCATTGCCACCACTGGCAGCGGTGTGGGTGGAGCAGTAGTATGCAAGCAGTAGCAGGATGAGGTGAAGCTGTGGGTGCCTGGAGCTCATCTTTCTACTGCTTGCTTGTCAGGCTTTACAACTTCAAGCTAGTTCTCAGAGGCAATATATAATACAGGGTAGAACAATACAAGTGGGAATTTCAGCAGTGCATTTTGCTCGTTCCTAGCTAGCAGTACAAGTTTATGTTAAATGCCACTGTTGTTTGTCCAAGACGAAAGCATGTGTAGAGCCATCATGTGGCCAATGTTATTTCCTGTGCAATACGGCAGTGCTGTTGATGTGCACACGACTGGTTGCTGACTGATTCAAAGGTTACGGAACGGTTTGTTACCTTTCATGAGTCAAGGTCTACTTGCATGTAGGCCCGTTGCAAGCTACTGTAGTTATTGTTGTCACTGTACTGTAGTGTGCAACGTGTCTCCAGTGGCAAGAATCTACAGCAGGAGAGCTACGTTTTTAATTTGATTAGGAATCTCTCCTCAAGAGCTGGAGTTGATTAGATTATTACTAGAAAGAGAGTCTGACTGTCTGAGTTTCAGGGGTATATAAGTTGAGCCAACATTAGGAAAGGCTAGACATACTGTTAGTTATAGCTGATTTGAAGACTAAATGGAGAATTTAATCTTTCTGTTTTACTCGGAGAAATACCTTGGGAACGTACATGTTCTGAAAATTCGCAGGTTACTGTTTGCTTGTAAAATAGGGGCTGGAGTTGATTAGATTACTAGATATGGAGCCTGAGTTTTATGGGATATTAGTTCAGACAAGGAACATTGGGAAAGGCTGCACACACTAATTATAGCTGATTTGGGGACCGAAGGAAGAAGAATATTAAAGGTTTCTGTTTCAATTTAGTGCTCTGCAAGATAACTGGTCTCGTGAGGAAGACGGTGGCCGGCAAAGCTGCTCAGTAGCAGGAGTAGGAGGACGTGGAGGTGCTGGCTGTTTAGCTGGAGTCATTTCGCTACTGGCTTGATGCTTCCTCGATGGTGTACAATGGCACAGCATGCCAGTTTGTGTTTAGAAACTGTATTGTACTTGATTTTCCATCACCACAGAAGAAGAAGGTGGAATTGTCGCTGTATTGTACTCCGAGGGAACATGCTCTGCAAGATAACTGGTCTCATTTCGCTACAGAATGCCATTTAGTATTTGCATTTCTAAGGATGCCATTTAGTAGTGCAAACGATCACTACCTTTGAAATATAGTTGCTTTCATAGACCGATTCGGCAAATCAGGTATTGTCGCTGTACCGTGTCTGACTGCCTTTTCAGTGGAATTTCTTTTGTGGTTGTGGTACATACATTCGGCTGTGGCTATGCTCAATCTCTCAAGCCGTTGGTTTGGTTTACATCCTTGTGGAAAAAGAGAAAAAATATTATTATTTTTGGTTATCGATTTTGAAAACAGTTCATTGAAATTGAAAAAAAATGTTCATGGTTTTTCAAAAAAAATACAAATATGAAAAAAGTTCATCTAATTGAAAAAGTTTGTTGACTTTGAAAAAAAGTTCATCGAATTAGAAAAAAAGTTTACCGATTTGAAGAAAAAGTTCATGAATTACAATAGAAATTATTGAGCCAGGACGAAGGAAAAAAAACATAAACCAAAAAAGGAAAAAAAAGGAAAAGGAACATTGAACTAAGAAAAGAAATAAAAGGATGTTAGTAATCACGTTGGGCAAAGTGGCGTGATGGTTAATGGCGTTCAGCTCGAAGTGGATGGATATCTTTAGTTCGATCCCTGCGGGATGTGCTCTTTCTTCCTTTCCCTTACAGAAAGGAAACAGGGTGTGCTCTTTCTTTTTTTCCGTTACAGAAAAGAAACAGGGTGAGATGGGCGGGCCCAGCTTGGTTGGCTGTAGGAATCCGTTTGCAAAATACACATAGGATTTGCCTTTGCAAATGTCACTCTAAACTTTCGGACCGCTTCTCACAACATTGGAGTTTTCCTTTTTCTTTGTATATTCGTTTATTCAAAATATTTTATCTCTTAAATCGTGTGTTTAAATCGTGAACCGTTTTCACTGTTGGATTTCTCGTATCGAGATCTTCGAAATTAGTTTGGATGAACTTTTTTTTCATAAAAAACCGGAAAAAAAAACAAGCCGGAAGCACGACCCACCCCTTTTTTTTA